CTGTTACGTTAAACTTATATTAAAGTTTTTCTTCATTACCCATTCAAGCCGTCTCCAACCATTATTAGTCTCAAAGTGGGTTCCTCGTCATCAGATTTGAAGATCCTTTCTTAATCTTCCTGTACATGAAAATAATGTTACACTTAAGGTAACTCCTAAGCCTAGAAAGATCCTTTCTTAATCTTCCTGTACATGAGAATAATGTTACACTTAAGGTAACTCCTAAGCCTAGATAGATCCTTTCTTTATCTTCCTGTGCATGAAAATAATGTTACACTTAAGGTAATTCCTAAGCCTAGAAAGATCCTTTCTTTATCTTCCTGTACATTAAAATAATGTTACACTTAAGGTAACTCCTAAGCCTAGATAGATCCTTTCTTTATCTTCCTGTACATTAAAATAATGTTACACTTAAGGTAACTCCTAAGCCTAGAAAGATCCTTTCTTTATCTTTCTGTACATTAAAATAATGTTACACTTAAGGTAATTTCTAAGCCTAGAAAGATCCTTTCTTTATCTTCCTGTACATTAAAATAATGTTACACTTAAGGTAACTCCTAAGCCTAGATAGATCCTTTCTTTATATAACTTTATCATTACCAATATTGGCCAGGTTTTCCCATGCCTTTTCAGAATCCTTGAATACATGTTTAAGATGTTATCGCATCCAGGATTAGTAAATAAATCCTACTTCCAACGTTGCCTTCAGAGTACTGGTGTTCATACAGCAAACAATATTAGTTTCTGTCCACTGAGCTCCCTGTATTATATTAGACTATCTTGCTGAACTTATATATCTATATTATATTATACAACTCTGAATTGTCTGATGTAATTTTTGCACATGGTATACGTATCGGTTATTAGAAAGGAACCTTATATTATTCCCTGTTGAGGACATTATGCTAAAGATAAAACATGGACAATCCCTGTTTGGGGCGTTATGCTGGAGACAAAACATGGACAATCCCTGTTGGGGGCATTATGCTGGAGACAAAACATGAACAATCCCTGTTAGGGACGTTATGCTACAGACAAAACATGGACAATCCCTGTTGGGGGCGTTATGCTACAGACAAAACATGGACAATCCCTGTTGGGGGCGTTATGCTACAGACAAAACATGGACAATCCCTGTTGGGGGCGTTATGCTGGAGACAAAACATGGACAATCCCTGTTGGGAACCTTTTGTATGCAGGTTTGTTACAACTTACATCATCGTACGAGATTGTTATTTTACGTAGTTAATGTTATTTGAACTGAAACGCCTTTGCATTACGTATATTTTTATTTATGTTAAGTTACATTTTATAAATGCTTTAATTACTTTTTTTATTTCAGAAACTCAGCCCTATAGCACTGATGAAGTCGATGATCAGGGTGCACCTGTTCCATCATCAATGATCAAAATGGTAATTTTGATTATTCGTTCCATGGCGTAAATATTACATATATTTTTTATTTGTTGAACAAACAGTTTTGTCAGACTGTACATATGGGTTTGAGGTCCTGCAAAGAACAAGGCTAAATGATACTATATTAAAATACAATGTTGTAATCATTTCAATCATAATCACTTTTGAGGTAAGGATGTTGACTGAGTACAGACAGTGAACTGTATCACGTAGATGAGGGGATGTTGACAGACTGCAGGTAGTGAGCTGGATCTATTCAATATGCGGATGTTGACAGACTGTAGATAGTGAGTTGGATCTCTTTAATGTTTGAATATTGACTGACTGCAGATGGTGAGCTGGATCTATTCAATGTGTGGATGATGACTGACTGCAGATGGTGAGCTGGATCTCTTCAATGTGTGGATGTTGACAGACTGCAGATAGTGAGCTGGATCTATTCAATATGTGGATGTTGACAGACTGCAGATAGTGAGCTGGATCTCTTCAATGTTTGGATGATGACTGACTGCAGATGGTGAGCTGGATCTCTTCAATGTTTGGATGATGACTGACTGCAGATGGTGAGCTGGATCTCTTTAATGTTTGAATATTGACTGACTGCAGATGGTGAGCTGGATCTATTCAATGTTTGGATGATGACTGACCAAATAAGGTGAGCTGGGTCAGTTTAATGTGGAGAAATGGCAAACTAACATGCCTACGTAACAGTGGGGCCACATCTGCTCGTAATTTTGACTTTTTACGTTCAACGTGTGATATTGTGTCTTATGGACAACGTATATCCTCTTCTGTGTGGGTGTTAATCTACATATATCCCTGTAGCTTGTGTCCTATTTTTTTTATCACACGGACCACTTTCTCTAGTTACTGACATTCAGTACTTTTAAAATAGTTATAATAAATCAACATTTTTTCCTCAAACGTGTAATTTGTTTCATTTTATTAAAATTACAGATTCCTTCCAAGTACGTTTTTGTTAGTTTAGTTTATTGAGTGTCACACCACGCCAATGTTTTACATTGCCCTTTTCTTTCTTCAACATCCTGTCGACGTACCACACTAGAATCGTTATCAGTAATGTTTTAATATGCTATAAACTCATCAAGCACTTACATTTTGTCATTTTCTCATGTTGAAAACATGATATACCTAATAAAATAAAAAAGTGACTCTCCGTAGCAAATGTGTTTATGTTTTTTATATTATTATTTCACAATCTATAAACCTACTTGTTTCTTCGTCTTCCTATCTATAACATGGTCTTTAATGTAATCTTTTAAACGAAACTTAGAATTTTCTTTTCGCCCAACTAGGTTGAAATGGTGTTGTCTATTGAAAAGCTACATTTTGAAGTAAACAGAAAAAGTACAGAAAGAGAGAAAACAAACGGACACCTCCGGAGGATGGAAGTGTTACTGACTACCACGTGCAAGCGTAGATCCCAAATCCCTATGACAGTCACGCTTCCTTATATGGACATTGGCATTGTTTCAGTTAACCTGGTGTCCAGATACTACATATATGACATTAACTCAAAACCAATAGAGGTATCATTTTATTTCTGATAGTAAGTTATTTATTTCTATTTAAAATGACCTGAAAAGAAGATAGGGAAGAAGGTTTCACAATTCCTAAAAAAGTCAAGTCCACACTTATATACCAGGTAGAAGATCTGGGGCCGAAGCCCCCACCTGCCATCAATGTTTGTGAATTTTAGAGTACCAGTAATAATATTTAAAGGACGTATGAAATTTGGTATGACCAGAGCAAACCCCACCAACTCACATGTGGAGCCCCAGACCAGAAAAAAAAAGGTGGTGGAACACAGTCGTATTGGATAACGTCATTCATATTTCCTAATATTTATTAATTATTAGTGATTCTTGGCAACAAATCAATTATTATTAATAATTCATATTCATATTTTATTAATTAATTCCCTCCCATTCAAGGTTTAATAACCTCATTATGAATATTTCATAATCAATTACAACTTTCTTAATTAATTATTTTCTGGCAACAGATCTGTAAATATTACTGGC